ATTCATACTTTAAATTCACACTTTATTACTAAAATGAAACTGAAAATTATATAAATTTCCAAAGACTATTGGTTTTCTTTATTGAATTCCAATTAAACACACTATAAATTATAATTATAACTCCTCTAATTTAATTATTTTAAAAATGTAACTTACATCACTTCATATCATATAAATAGCCATTCTCACATCCTTCTCTACCATATCTCATATCTTCATTATTCTCTTTGTTTTTTTTAAAGTTCTTGCATTGGGTGAAAACTCATTTAAAATATCATTGTAAGAGTTTGATTAATTATTTAGTTTAAACTTTTGTTTTTAATTTTATTTATTTTTTGTTTTTATGTATTTCTTTATGTCTTCATTGTTTTTTATATTTTTAAATGTAATACATATGTATAATAATATTTCATGGTTATAAGAAAATCAAGCTAAAGAAATTACTTTGGATGTTTGTTTCTTTCTCACATATTCATGTATATTTAATTTATTTTCAAAAGTATGTAATTTTTTAACAAAATAAACTTTTTGTTATATAATTATCAAACCAATTTGTAAGACATTCTTTTAAGAATAATGATCCTTATATTTAGTTTGTGATTCAACATGTAATAATACAAAGAATATTATAATTTGTTTTAACTTTGAATTTTATACTTGATTTCCTATCTAAAAAACAATTTGATATTCCATTTTCTATCTATTATATATACTACAAGGATGAAAAATATAATTAAACCTAGAAATATAACTTAAATTAAGAGGAATATAAAAAGAGATTAAAAATAAAAATATTTCTTGGGAATTTTTAAGGTTTCACTCTCTCCTTATTGGTCCATTTAGCATTTATTTTTAATTATAATATTTATTTTTAATTAAACCAAATATCTAACACATTTAGTCATATACTTTAATTCATACTTCAAATCCACACTTTACTATTAAATTGTAACTTAAATTATATAACCTTTCAATTGACTATTTGTTTCCTCCATTTAACTTCAATTAACACACTATAAAATATAATTACAAGTCCTCTGATTTAATTATTTTAGAATTGTAACTTACATTATATTTTATCCTATAAATACTCATTTTTACATCCTCCTCCACCATATCTAATATTCTCAATATTTTCTTTGTTTAATTTTTAATGTTCTTGCATGGGTTGAAAGCTCAATTAAGATAT